AGATTGATAAAGAGATGGCAACTGCCAAAAGATGTTTTGTACGTAAAAGGAAAGCAGGTAAGCAGTTACTGTCTGGATACATCTGCTGATACACAGTAACTGTGTATTGAGGGTTAAACCTGTGAAATATTAACTGATAAATTTCCGGTTGGCACTGTTGGAATCGAAGCGATGCAGATCAGTATCTGTGTTTTTGAATCAACTGTGCTGTCATCAGTCTAGACATCTGCCTTTCCCTGTTATTGTTGTGCTGTGCTGCTGAGTAGTACATACTGTTAAAGCCTGGAGCGTCATCATAGCAACTCTGAGTCTGTGTGGTACATCCTGTTCCTATCACCCCGAGGACGGGGGCTGAAAACAAGGATTAACAATTAGAAAGGCTTTTAATTCTTAGTTGATCAGCTGATCAAGCATGAGAGAGAGAAAAACAGCAGCCCACTTATTGTTTAACCAGCCTGCGAGATACTTAGAATCAAATAGGACTCAAGTTCTATTTCATTCTTATGTGTTTGTTACTTGTAGAAGTGGCTGCTAAAACAAATTTGTTTAGAAAATGACATCCCAGACATTTTCCCGCCATACGCCTGGTGGCTGGTGTTCATTTCCGAGTCGACCTTCCTGCGGGGATGGTATTTCTCTTTCCCTGGAAGCCCTGTATCGGCTTTTTGACCCACAGCAGCGATCTTTATCCCACAGCCAGAGAGCTGCTGTGTAATGACAGAATGGAAAAGGTGAACTGCTTTACTGCACAACAGTAACTTTCTACAACTCACTCCTTGAGTTTCTAATAACGCTTTCAGGATGAAGCAAGGACACAGGAAGTAATAACTTATATAGATATTTGTACTAATAACATGATAAAAAAAAATTCCAAAAGAGCTCCATTAAACAATCAAATTTTCCTTGGTAAAATCATCAGGGTTTTATATGTCAGATATGTTGTCCTAATGCTGTCAATTGAATAATCACATTTCATGCTCATAAATCACATATGGTACAGTATTACATATGAGTTTGAGATATATAGTATAGTATATTGTGTGTATATAGTTCCATATAGTTTAAATGGCTCAGTTTGTCGTCTGGCTCCCCCAGCTGGCAGCCCTGCCTGTGTATGTGTGCGTGTGCATGCGCGCACGCTGCTTTCAGAAAGACTTGATGTGTTAAATGGCGTTTGTAGTTTCCTCCTCTACCACCTTCTTATCTCCGTCTTTAACCCCTTCTTTGTCCATTCTTTCTGCGCTTCTTCCTCTTCTATAGTTCCTTCTCTTCCTCATCCAACCTCTACACATTCTCCTCCTCTACCTCCTTCCTCTTCCTCTTACTCCTTCACCTCCTCCCCTTGTGCTGCAGTTCTGCATCAACCTGTCTCTGAAAGTGGAGTAAGGGGGAGACGAAGGATAAAATCTGGGATCTATTATGTGGCAGCCTTCCAGAGGAGTGCTGAGGTACACTATGTACCCGTCCACCCCTCCACCCCTGTCCACCTTATACTGGTCAGTGAGTGAGTGAGGAGGCTCCACACTAACAGCTCCAACCTGAGCCAAACTTCAGACAGAGATTATCTCCTTCCTCTTTCCCCAGCTCTCTACAGCCCCAAGGCCGTACATTATCACATCGCAAAATTACACCTTTCCAACACAGCTCCCATCACCCCATCGCAGAGGTCAGAGGGCGAGCTGGAGTCGGTGGGTGGTGGGGGCTCGGAGCAGAGAAAGAACATTCTGTGCCAGAGAAATGCAGCACTGGTTGTCTACTGCTGAGCACGAAGAGCCTGCTGAATGGTTGGTGGGACCACACAGTCTGAAGGTTCTGATTGGCTTCCGTGTCAGTCAGGAGGCGGGCCGGAAGGTCATCTCATGGTCACTGCCTGGTGATGAATTATTTTCATATAGGAATGACAGTAGATTTCTTCTTCCTGAATTCAGATTCAGTCACCAACTGTTGTAAAAGGAAAAATGAACAACTGATCAGAGAACTTAAAATGCCTGGCAGCACACAGATGCATTTGATTTATTTTTCTTTTCTTTTTTGTTTGTTTGCAGTTGACATTATAATTAGGGATTTCCCAAGCAGGTGTGCTGGATTGTTTTCACAACAAAGGCATTTTGTATTTGTTGGGCCTGTGCAAACTCTATAAAAATCAATCACTGGTAGCTTTTGTGGAGTAGAAGTTCAAAATGGCTGAAGGATATGTGAAAAAATCATATTGCAATAGTTTTGGTAGATATTGTGATATGAGTCATGAGTTCAGTTGGATTGACCATTTTTGAATTTCATTTTCAGTAAAAATGATGATGATGATTTTTTTGTACCAAACAGCATGTTTCCTCATGTCTGGAGATTATGATTTATAGCTCACAGCGTCTCTGTAGCACCACAATGCTTCATTTATGGTCTGTTGAGACACATTTTACCTTTATCAAAAAGCCATATAAAGCTTTATATCATAGCTTTATCAAACAGCTCCTGTACTTTGGATGTTGCACTTGACCATATTGCAATTTCAATAATATTTCGATAAATTGTTCAGCGATAATGCACATTGTTCTAAGTATGGAAATGGTGGCATTAAATATGAGAGCTGCAGCCAGTAGTCAATTAGTTAGCAGTGTCTTCCTGTGGGATGAGCTGCTGGTGGAAACAACAGGCACGCACACAACTGTGAATATGTTTCCTGAAAAACACACTTTCTTTAAGTGTTGAGCTCCAAGTTAAAGCCGTAAAGATCAAAAGATCAAGCAGATGGTTGGAACCTTTCTGTTGTGTTTCAGGCTCTGGGAATGATTTCCTATTCCAATTTGACATCTGCTTTTTCTTCAAATAGCCTCACAATCAGCATCCAGCTCTTTCAGCATCAGTTTACTCGTTTTTAATAAAATAAGAACAACTCGCGAGTCTGATGACGAAAACATTGATTCTGGTCTGGAGTCATTCTGGATAAATAACTGAAATCTAAATTAGAGTAGTAGCAGTAGGCATCTCCTCTGGCCTGCTGTCTTCAGTATGTTTGACAGAGCCGGTGGAGGTAGCGTGTTGAAACGTGTTGCAGGGTTTCATCCTATAAACAACGCATAATTTCCCATAACTTCACTTTGTTTGGTTTCTGTTTAAACACAGCCCTGGCCTGCCGAAGCAGATGACATAATCAAAATTACAGTTTTGTTGTTTTTTGTTCAGATATCCCTGCCCTCTTTGTTTATGCCTTACAGGACTCTGTACTCACTAACACACACAAATAATTTCAAGCAGTGATTTTCAGTGTTTCCATAGCAATTAGTGTTTGTTTCTGTGGCAGACAGTGTAAGCGCTTTGAAGGTCTCAAACGTTACTCTCTCTGGATCAGCTTTTGTGTTGTCAGTAAAGCTGGGTTCAGGGTAGAAGCTAAACGGTGATTTTTCTGTTTCTTTTTCAGTGACTGTGTGGTGGTAGCAGGCTAAATAGAACCACTATTGTTGGTATTTCCTTGGAAGTTCAACCCTACTCTCTGGAAGAAGGTGTGCGTCAGCTAATGTAACTAGCTGCTTTAGTGTTTGTCATGTTTAATTGAAATCCCCCTGCTGTAGAGACGAAGGCCGCCGCGAGTTGTGGCTCCCTTCCATGCGTAGGTCTGTCCGGTGTTTTCCTTATGGAGCTCCTAAATCAGTTTTTCCTGTCATCAGTTAAAGTATCCTCTTATTTAGAGGGACACCACAGCAACTAGAAGAGTTATTTGTAGCAGTGCTCAGTGGAAAACCCGGACTGGAGATGCTTCTGTCACTGTGGGATCTGGGATGAGCCTCACACAGCACTACTGGGCTCAACACCAACAACTGTGGTAGACAAAAGCTCCTACTTGTTTGTCAGATTTGGTTTTGTCAGACAGAATGATGATGATGGTTGGATATGAATATGCAGCAGCCTGTGCGTCTTCTTTGCGATATCATTCCTGTTTTTAGTTATTTACAAGCTCTAATCTGGGCTGGTTCACATGTGTGTACTTATGCATTGTCAGTCATTCTCCAGGAAATACGAATCATTTGTTCAGGACTGTAGCCAATAGCGTCACACCAGGAGCTAATTTAAGCTTTGGACTCCCTGGTTGTTTATTTGTTCCACTCTTACATTTGCTAAAAGAGGGGAATGCTCCTTTACTGTGTGGGAAAATTGTGTTTTCTGGTCTGGTCTGTTTTCTTCGATGTGACATTCAGGCACATGTTAGCATGTTGTAATACCACAATACCGTAAGCAGATGTGCAAGATCAGTATTGTGGCTCATCAGGGTATTTGTTGATGATTGATCCACTTAACCTTTTGTTATGTAAGGAGGGCTGCAGCATTATTTTCTTGATTAATTTCTAAGTCTATAAAATGTCGTCAAGTGATCAACAATGTCCATTAGAGCCCAAGGGGACGTCTTCGGTTGTCTTGTTTTGTCCGACCAATAATATAAAACTCAACGTAATTCAGTTTACAAAGACATAAAACATTAATTATCAGAATATTTTCGAACCAATTTTTCTATCAATTGATTGATTAATCGTACGCCAGCTTTTAAATACACCAAACTGTGTCCTAATGCTCAGTGTTGACATTTGACATTCTGCAGGTGTGCCACATCTTTAAAGAGATGGTCATTCAGTCCTGCCTGCTACAGCGGGTCTAGATTGACACTCTAAACTGATATTAAACAAAACTATAGGACTCAACACATTAAACATTCTAGGAAAGCTCTGGTGTGGAGTATATTTCATTAATGCAAAGCTATTCATCTGAAAAATTGCTTTACTAATTTTAATATAGCCCATTTTGTGTGGTTTGTGCAACTGTAATGTGTAAATGCAAATATCAGATTAGTGGATATTCTACCACAGGAATCCAAATGAGATCACAGGCAACAGAGGCTAGCATCCCCACATGTATAATATAGTGCAGTATGGCATGGATGGCCTGATGTCTCAGGTATATTTTGAACTGAAGTTAAATAACCCCCCACCTCTCTCTCTCTGTCTCCCATCCAGAGTGCCCTGAGAAGTGTGTACGGCGAGCGTGCACAGTGGACGGCGAGTGCTGCCACCCTCAGTGTCTAGGCAGCTGCACAGTCCCTGGTAGTGACACAGCATGTGCTGCATGCGTGCATTACTACCACCAAGGACGCTGTGTGGCTGACTGCCCTCGCGGCACCTACAAGTTCGAGGGCTGGCGCTGCATCAGTGCCGAGCTTTGTTCTAAAGTCCACCTCCCCGAATTCGACAGCTTCATCATCCACGGTGGAGAGTGCATGCCTGATTGCCCGTCTGGCTACACACGCACTGCACCCAACAGGTGAGCTGCAGTCTGCACTGAGCTAAGCTGAAATGGAGCCACTGGGTGGAGGTACTCTTATTGTTGGCCTGACATCGGTACCAGTTCCACACCCTGCTATTAGTTTCCATTCTGAAGTTTCATCAGGGCGAGAACAGAGTGTAATACAACAGCTACAATAAAGGGCCATTAGTTTATATAATGAAAGTTTCTGGTTAAATCTTGGAATCTGTCCTAGACATCATTTAGCTGCTCCTGTAAAACACTGACGTAAAATCTTTCGGTGACCGAAATAAAAACTAAAAGGTCAGGGGAGAGTTTTAAGACTTTAGCTAAACAGTGTGTCAGTGAAATGACATACTGCACATTTACTGTCTCCTGTCTCTCACTATCTCTCCCTGTCTGTCTCCAGTATGTCCTGTACAGCCTGTGATGGTCTGTGTGATAAAGTGTGTGAGGAGAAGGTCATCGACTCCATGGACGCTGCTCAGTCTCTCAAAGGCTGCACTGTTATCAAAGGCAACCTGCATATCAACATCCGCAGAGGCCGTAAGTTCTGCAGCGTACCACAACAACACGACAGCTAATACTAACATTTCTACACTACTTATCCTGCTGCCAGTGGACAGAGGAGTTCATATTTCACTTCACCACATCATACATGTTTCTTAGCTGGTCTAGACAATTAGAATTACCTGTTAGTTACATACTGTTAAACCATGACTGATGACATCAAAAGGAGTTAGTTCTGCAGGGAGCTGCAGTATTTCTCAACATTTTCTCCAATCAGGAAGATTGGAGATTACCATCATCTTTGAATGTATGGTGCTATAAAAACACAAAATATTTTTTAAGGTTAGATTGGCTGTGGAACAATGTCCTCTCAAGAATGATTGCATCCTCTTTGATTTACAGCTAAAAAGATTTTTTTTCATCAGCCCCTCTTGACTTGAATATTCAATATCATTTTAACACTAAAGCAATTTTTGTATTTGTATTAAAAAAGCAATGTTAGGATTAGTCTAGAACAACTTCCAAGAGGTCTGTTAAGATACGGAACTGTGTAATTTCCAGGTATTGCTCAGAAAATCGTAATTAAGAAGCAGGAGACAAGAAAGAATATGAATTAATGAGGGAAATAAATGAGAGGAAAAAAGGGGTAGAAGGTAGAAGAGACGATTCAGGCAGGTAGTTTTCAGTAAATCACATCTCAAAAGAAATACCTCCAATGTTCAAGTTCCACAAGTTCTACACAGAATGGGATATAAAGCAAGATTTACAGTTCAGTCCAACCATAATAGTGACTTGAACCTAGTTAAGACAGTAATAAAAACTGAGTGAATAAACAGTACATACATAGACTAATAGAGCAGGTTAAGAAATTAGTATTAACATGAGTGTGTCTGTGTGTGTTTGTGTGCGTTTAGACAACATGGTGGCAGAGCTGGAGAGTTTCACAGGTTTGATCCAGAGGGTGACGGGTTATGTGCGGATCAGACACTCCCACACTCTGAGCTCCCTGGCCTTCCTCCGCAGCCTCAGATACATCGATGGAGAAAACCTGCTGGACGAGTACGGTCACACACAAACACACACATTATTTAGCTATGAACACATGCAGACACAAAGTCCCAATGTGAACCCCCAGCAGCTCACAGCAGGGGCTGAGGTTGGTGTGTGGCCATAGTCTGAGTTCAGCTCTACTCTTCGTGTTCTTGCATTATGTTTGACTATAGAGGAATCTCCTGAATAGCAGTAACTAATGTGAGGAAGGAATGTTGTGTTGTGTTGGTGTTCTGATGTGGCCAGTCAAGGTCGTTGCTGAAATGTTGGCCGATGAGAGATGTTTTGACTGTGAGGTGCAGACTGGAACTTATGTTATGATGGACAGACTTACTTGTTTTGGGTTGGTCAACTGTAACATCGTCACAGAAATATAAAAAAACACACTGAAGAATTTTGTTTTCAACTGGAAAAGTAAATCAGCTGACTGAAGCTTAATGGCATTTTTAAAAAATAATGAGACCTCGAATGGAGTTCTGCAGGGAAACGGGACGTTAGCATCGCCCTGGTTCCCTCGACAAAAAGCCAATGGGATTTTAACATCGGCTTTTGGATTACTGCAGAAAATAAACCCTGCGACAAACAAGCTTATGATACTCGCATGTTTTCTTCAGCAAGATAATATTCACAAATACACACGAGTTTTATGATTTTTGAAGCCTAAATACAATCGCCAGAAGTAAAAAGCTGATGTTAGGCTATAAATGGTCGCATGATTTCAACGTCACAGTCACTAAATTAACAACTTGTAGTTTGATTTAGCTCTTACCTCTTCTACAAAAGCCTTTCCTCTTACAAAGTTAAAATGTTTTGTACGAGCGCTCCTACAAAACACAACGAGGCTATAAAGGCCGACTAGTGTGTAGATCGGTTTTTATGTTAGGCATGATGACATTTAACTTTCCAGACTACCTCTGTAGTCTGATTTAGCCACTTGTTAGCAACCAGCCCTTTTTTAAGAGACATAAAAGCTTAAATAAATCACAACTAATTTATTTACTGACGTATCATAGATGTCATAGAATAAAACATGAAGTGGAAGTGTCTGCAGCCCCCTACCCAGGCAGTCAGATTGAATATCGTCTAACTTAAGGTTATTTCCAGAACTCTACACTCACTTACTCTACACGCTACACTTTTTTTTAGTTAAGTTGAAAAATTTAGTGCATAAAGAAATTTAGGGGCAGAATGAAAATTTATCAAATAAGTTGTTTTTCCTCAATAAAGGGACATGAGGAGACATTAACAATCAAAATGATTTAATTTATATGAATCCAAAAAGTACACTAGGTTGATGCTGAACAAATACTGAAGGTCATGGTTGAAAAATATGTCGTATAAGCTTAAATTACTGAGAAGAAGATGCTTCACTCCATTTGTATGACCTAAAGGACCTCTGACCTCGTTTGTAGTTGCACAGTGGCGTTAGAGAGTGCAGCTTCTTCCCTCACAAACTATCTTTGACAAGTGTTAACAGTGGTGTGCGGAGGACACACAAACAGACAACAGTCAAGTTTGATTTTGGCCTCAGTGTGTACCTTTCCAACCTCAGTGTACGAAGCTCAGTCACCGCTTCACCCAATGAGCATTTCACTGTCACTCTGCAGTTTTCACTGGTTTATGCAGTGAGATAGTATGGAACACCGATTGTCCCACATCAGGACTTTGCCTCTGCATAGTCGGGTAATTGCAAATTCATGACATTTCAAAAGATTCTGAAGCAGCAGCGGCAATAATTTTGTATATAGCGGAAACACGGACTTCCAACAGTCCAAGGAAAGGTTCTCTCAGGGCCATGGAGTGGCCTTCACTCCCTCCTCCGTCTGTTTCTCCTTGAGCTCACAGGAATCTTATTGCCCCAAGGCCCACATTACAGCCATTCCTGGATGTCTGGGTGTTACCCAGTGACTCATAAAACTCTTCTCCTCTCCTCTCCTCTCCTCCCTTCTCCTCCCTTCTCCTCCCTTCTCCTCTCCTCTCTTCTCCTCTCCTCTCCTCTCCTTATTTTCCACTATGCACTGAAAATAAGGCATTGTCCTTGATGGGAAAGTTGGCCATCAGCTTGGCATGAATCACACGATACACACAATAAATTGAGGCAGAAACAGTAGACAGCAAATATAGAATTAAGACACACATTGTTCACCATCATTCATTCATCTTCTCTTCTTTCTGCCCTGTAGCATGTATGCCTTCTCAGCATTCGACAACCAGCAGCTCCAGTATCTTTGGGACTGGAAGCAGCACAATCTCACCATCAAAACAGGAAAGCTGTTCTTCAGAGCTAACCCAAAGCTCTGCATGTCTGAGATCCGCAACATGTGGAACAAGACGGGCATCCAGGGCCGCTTTGATGAGAGCGATTTCCGAAACAACGGCGACCGTGCCAGCTGTAAGGGTCAAAAAAACCCACAAACATTTAAATTGCTATGTCCAGTGCATGTGCAGGACATACTCTAGTTTACTAGCAGTTTGCAAACGCCTCCTCCTGCTCTGCACCATGTGTCAGTATTTACTGCATTGCTCTGTCAACAAGACTAATGGTAGCAGAAACATATTGAAGTACTTTTGATTTTAACTCTGCTCTGACTCTCTCCTAGGTGAAAGCACTATCCTAAAGTTTAAGTCCAATAGCACTAGCAGTAAAAGGATCAAACTGACCTGGCAACGCTACCGGCCCCCGGACTACAGAGACCTCATCAGTTTTATCGTCTACTACAAGGAGGCGTAAGTTTTTCAGTCATTAACTGCGTCCTTCCCCAGGCTGCTGATTCTAGCAGAGATAGGAACTGAGACTTGATTCCCCTAGCTTATCAACTGACTTGTATAAAGACAAAAAAAAATCTGTTATCTGTTGGAATCTCAGTATCACATTGATTAACAGGATTTTAAATGCACTGAACAATAAATAAAACATTTTAAACCAATTTCCAGAAGATCTGCGTGTCAGTCCACGACTAATGTGAATATTAGAAGATAAACAGATAGAGATAAACAGTCAGTTGCAATAGTTCTCAAGTCGAGTGACATCAAACCATTGCAGAAAAGATGGTGTCAAACCTCAAACAAACTAAAACAATGAGGAAAATATGAGGAAAATATGATGAAAATACGACATTTTATGTTTTTCTGATATATTAATTTGAAGAGCACTTTTTTCAAGATTCCTCTCAGGCTTTTTATGCACAAATGGAAAGTGCACATAAAAACGTGGATGGAAACACATAAGTGTTTTCTAATGCTATTTAGGGTTTGTTTAGTAATATATATATGAACAAGAGAGCAAAACAGGTGTATATCAAATTTTGATTCTCTATTTCAAAGTCAGTCTCTTTAATTGTATATGTGAATAAAAACTATAATTAAGCAAGCCAAAAGGTTGATGAATAATTGTTCACCTATGACATTAATTGTCTTCCTCCCAGGCCGTACCAGAACATCACAGAGTTCGAGGGGCAGGATGGCTGCGGCTCCAACAGCTGGAACATGGTGGATGTGGAGCTGAGGCCAGACAAGGACTCGGACCCCGGAGTTCTGCTGTCCAACCTGAAACCCTGGACGCAGTACGCTATCTTCGTCAAAGCTATCACGCTGATGGTCGAGGACAAACACATGCCGACTGCCAAGAGCAAGGTGGTCTACATCCGCACAAGCCCCTCAGGTAAACAGGATAATTTCCCTAAGTCAAAGGTCACAGGCTGAAGACTGACAGCAGAGAAAACAAATGTTACTATGACCCTAGAACAACTGCAAATGACAGAAAGGTGCTAAAAGGGTGAAAGTGATTAACAAAGCCTCCACTAAATAGCTGAAAGTTGTCATCTTAAATAAGTGGCTATAGTGGGAAGGTCAGAGGTCATTCCTTCATTTAGGTGGAAGGACATAGAATAGTAGAGGCCAGGTGAAGACATGACCGCATCGGCTAAAGGAAGAGCTGTGAACAGCGGTCGTAGAAGCACAGAAAGTTACACTGTGACATTAACACACAGCGTCCCACAGCGTCCCACAGCGTCCCACAGCGGACACACTGACTGACGGGTAACGCTCTGTTCACATTGCTACTTGTTTTTTCACAAAAAAGTTGCGGGATTGTTTCATGATGACAGCGCGATAACGTTTCTGGATTTCATGCAGATGTACTGTAAGGAAATGGAGAGGAAGGGAGTTTTTAAATAAACACAGCTGCAACTCAAAGAGACGAAGAAAAAACTGATTTGCAAAAAACTATAATACAATTAGATGAAATGGAAGACTGTTTTAAACAAACCCAGCTGCACTGTAAAGACATAGCAGCGCTGTGATGTCAGCGAATCACATCTGCACTGGCAGACTCTGCATCCTACCCTGAAGGAGAGACGTTTCCTACAAGTTGTTAGAAAACTGGTTTATCAAGCAGCCACATAGTGATGACACTGAGATCAGAATAATTTTGATGTTTGTCTCTCTCTCTCAGCTCCCTCCATGCCTCAGGATGTGCGAGCATACTCCAACTCCTCCACACAGCTGGTGGTGCGTTGGTCGCCCCCTGTCTCACCAAATGGAAACCAGACTTACTACCTGGTCAGATGGCAGCAACAAGCCGAAGACAGGGAGCTTTACCAGCACAACTACTGCTCTAAAGGTTCACACACACACACACACACACACACACACACACACACATATACACACACACCTTAAACACTCTAATTTACTGCAAGTTGTTGAGGGTACACCAGTCATGAAATACATTTTCCTCTCCCTCGGGCAGAGCTGAAGATCCCTATACGGATTGCTGCCATTGGTGTGGGAGACCAGGAAGAGGACACTAAGCCCACTAAACCAGATCCTGAGGGGGCAGATAAAGGTCCTTGTTGCCCCTGCCCCAAGTCAGTGGAGGACCTGGAGGCAGAAGCTGCTGACGCCTCCTACCGAAAAGTCTTTGAAAACTTCCTGCACAACTCAATTTTTACACCAAGGTCAGCGACTCATCATCATTATTTCACAGTTTATCTTAAATGATATGATCTCATGGGAAAATACTCTTTTTCTTCTGTGCTGTTAATATGTAGTTTTTGTGTAATATCTCTGTAACTTCAGTGCAGATCAGTAGCCGTCTTCACATTTATGTAATTATAGTAAAATAAAAAACAACCCAGCCAAAACAAAAAAAGTAGAGAGGGGGCTGAGGGTCCATGGAGAGCAACAAACCAGTCCTCATATTTCTCTAATTTATCTCTACATTATGTTTCTGCTACTGTCTGATTTAGGGAGTTAGTGTTCTTCCTTGTACTGCAGACATCTGCATCACATCTCCACACACACACACACACAGCCACACACACAGAGGCACGCAGAGTTCAGTCCAGTTGATGTTAATTAGTTCTCAGCGTGTTTTGCAGATGCAGGAGAAACGAGTGGATGTGCTTAGGAAGAACAGGGGTTATCATGTTTCCTGCGTTTTCCTTTCACCTTCAGGTTTTTCAGACCACAGCAGCGTGTGATCAAACATGTACGTCCCTTTGTAAATTGGAAATCTGTATCTGAGCCCTGCTTATGTCATTGCTACATACATAACAGAGGCTTTTCTACGTTTGGTGGAACTGTTTGAAACAATTAGAGAGAGAAAACACGACTCATTGTTCCTGAGAAGAGAAATATTATTAAAGGTAAAAAAGTTTAAGGTAATGAAAGGATGTAACTGGTACACACTGGAAACAAAACCTGGTGGAGGTAAAAAAAAAAACAAAAAAACTCTTCCATTAAACCAAATGTCATGAAATTAAACACACATGCTCGAGGAACAACTTGGTAAACTTTTGTTGGACTGTGGTCAGATGTGGTAGCTGTGGGTGTGGTCACCTATTGGCATATAGTGTATACTTTGCTTGTGAAAGTTGAAGTTGTATAAAACCAATTGAGCTGTTCAGTAATTTTATTTAGTGTGTTTGTACCAGGTTTCATCCTAGCTGCTGAAATTGAAGCCAAATGGCGATGAAAGTAAGCAAATCACTCAGAAGACTCAAAGCTGAGCGAGGAAAGATTTCCAGTAACTCTGGCATCATCGTGGTAAAACGACAAAGCGCACAGGCACAAAATACCTCCTTGTGACAGTTTGTGCTTCATCCACCTCTTAGACAGAACTCCTCATCTTGTCAAACACATCTCTTTGTCAGTGTTACATATTCATTTTACTCTCGCTAGTTTGTTTCAAAGGTTTAAATTTACTCTCACATACATTATCAAACTCAACCTCCCTCCTGCCCCTCTTGTACCTCCACCCCACCATCCATCCCCTCTCACTTCCAGGCCACCCGATCGTCGCCGTAGAGATCTCTTTGGCATCGCCAACTCCACTCACTCCCGCCGCAACCGCCTGCACACCAACAGCAGCACAGTCCCTCCTCTCCAAGCTGCTGGTAACAGTAGCACCACCGCTGACCTGGAGCCGGCGGACAGAGAGTTTGAGTTCATGGAGCAATCTGTGACGGAGCGCGAGCTACAGATCTCCGGCCTGCAGCCGTTCACGGTTTACCGCATCGACATTCACGCCTGCAATCGACAGGTGCAACGCTGCAGCGCGGCAGAGTTCGTCTTCTCCAGAACCAAGCCTGCAGGTTAGAGGAGTGTAGCTCAAATGTTTTCTCACCCGCTAGGCCACATCTGTGTTTTTGTTGTTTTAATGAACATGTGACCTCACTATGTATTCACCATGGTAACCCATTTCCCTGTGTTCTCCAGAAAAGGCTGATGACATACCAGGCAAAGTGACCTGGGAGGGCCACGAGGACTGGGTGTTCCTGCACTGGCCAGAGCCACCTCACCCCAATGGACTCATCCTCATGTACGAGATAAAGTTTAAACTGGCTGCTGAGGTAAGACAACATGTGCATACCCTCAGTGATCACCTGTTGGTTTTGTCAAAGACTAGGGCATTAAAAAAGGATTTAAAAGTCATGTTTATTCAGTTCTTTTCTCAGATTTTATTCATGAGGGTTGTCCACATCTGTTGAATGAAATGTTGGTTGACCTCTCTGTCTAACCAGTCAATCAATATCCTCTTCATGCATAACGTAAATATCTTTAGCTTCAGAGACTAAATTAGTTTGTTGCCCACTCAGATATAGGTTATAAGAATCAAAATTAACCTCTTGAACTTGCAGATTTTACCTGTAACAAACAATTTTTCATTTTTATTTTTTACGATACAATAATGATACAATACAATACGATATGATACGATACGATAATCCTTTATTAGTCCCCACACTGGGGAAATTTGCAGTGTCACGACAGCAAAGTGGACAGTACAAGAAAGAAAAAACAGAAAAATGTCAGTAACAAAAACTAAAGAGAAAGATAAATAATTGACTACAAAATAATATGTACAATTCGATATTTACAAAAATGTACAAAATAGCAGCATATGAGGTATATTGCACAGAAGCTGTGTGTTACTTATTGCACATTATAGCACATGGTGAGGCTGTCAGTGCCTGGTGTGTGTGATCTATTGAGTGCAGTGTTTATTTTACAATCTAATAGCATCAGAAAGGAAATATACATAAACATATATTTCATAATGTCCTTCTGATTAATATCCCATATTATATGGTAAAAAATGTTTGTTATTGATGCCATATGACTACATGCTCATTTTAAAAGATGGTTTCTGGTCATGAACTCAAAGAAAAACACATTTCACACAGAACAGATTAACTTAGTAAACAGAAGTGAAATTAGAAACACAATCATGAACACAAAGAAACTGCAAACAATTGTCTCATGTAGACATACTGACCAGTCATCTGGCCCAATGAGGAGACATGAGTGTTATTATTCATCAGTTGTGGAATGGCTTTGGCACCATAAACCCTGTGAATATTTACTGCACAAAAAACATCATAAAAACATCAGGTCTTGGATTCTCTTTCAGATGAGTAAAATTCTGTCTATAATGACCTTTCTTTTTTCTTTTTGTGTGTGTGTGTGTGTGTGTGTGTGTGTGTGTGTGTGTGTGTGTGTGTGTGTGTGTGTGTGTCTCTCAGACCGAGAAGCACGAGTGTGTCTCTGGTCACATGTATCAGGCCCAGCGTGGCGTTCGGCTTTCCAACCTCAGTCCAGGAAACTACTCAGTCAGAGTGAGAGCCACGTCACTGGCTGGCAACGGCTCATGGACACACACTCTGGATCTCTATGTCGCTGAACGTAAGACACACACTCATCACTCCTTTGTATCTGTACACTGTGAAATTCTCTTGGTTTTTGCCAGTTCTCTAATAATACAGAAATGCTGTCAACTGCAACAATCACAGTAAACAAAATGTTTGGCCCAACAGGATATGAAAACGTTCTCTATGCGATGATCTTTGTTCCTATCGCCATCATCCTCTGCATCTGCCTTCTGGTCACAATGCTGGTGGTCCTCAACAGGAAAAGGTGTGTGATTCTGGGTACTGTAGTTACATGTGTAGAGCACAGCAATCGTTTAGTTAACCTGTAAATCTGGCAACACAGAATGTGATTGCTTAAAACAAATAAAAACAAAAATACAAGATGCAGAATATCATGTAGCAGAAACATTAAATAGGTCTGCCTAACATGAGTCACCAAGCCAGGCCAAACCAACACAGCAGACCAGCAAAGACCTGCAGAGAAAATCATAACAATAATAATAATAATAATAATTACTATTATTATTATTATGATTTTCTCTGTCACTTAGTTTTATAGCCCATAAAACTAAGCAGCAAATGAAGCTATATTTTTTCAGTGTTATGTGTTTGGCTTCCTCTTCTGTATATAGTTGTAACTTGCACTATTTAGTGAGTGTTTGTGAAAATATTTTCTTTAAAGAAAGCTAAAGATGACAAAAAAACATGACCATGTGATATAGACATCAGGAGACAATCAAGTAATATAAAGAAATGAATTAACGCAAGAACTCAACAACACCTGATGTTCTGTAATAGTCCCTTAAGGAATAAACTCTTACAATAATTTTTTCATCTTGATTGAATATTTTGAATTGCTCTAACATCAGTCGGCTTTGAAATTGAAATGTGTCAGTATTGCATTTTTCCAATGTTCTCTGGAAGCTAAACCTGTGATATTTATGATTATACATCATGTGGCATGCTTTTTGTGTGTGTGTGTGTATGTGTGTGTGTTTGTGTGTCTGTAAACACTTTTGTTTTTGTTTTGTTAAGGAACAGCGACCGTCTTGGAAATGGAGTCCTGTATGCCTCAGTCAACCCAGAGTACTTCAGCGCTGCAGAAAGTGGGTGAAATGTTTATGAGACAAATGCAGTTTTATTGTTGTTGTCGAAATAACTGAAACTGTCTGTGCAGGTGTGAAGATCTGTATTGATATGTAATTTTTTTTTTTTTTTTTTCCTGTGAAGTGTATGTACCGGATGAGTGGGAGGTGGCACGGGAGAAGATCGCCCTGAGTCGTGAGCTTGGCCAGGGGTCATTTGGCATGGTGTATGAGGGCTTGGCAAAGGGCGTGGTCAAAGACGAACCAGAGACGCGTGTCGCCATCAAGACCGTCAACGAATCGGCAAGCATGAGGGAGAGAATCGAGTTTCTCAACGAAGCCTCTGTCATGAAGGAGTTTAACTGTCACCATGTGGTACGTACACACTCAGACACCTTTATTCACCTTTATTTGACGGTTGATAGTCAAGAGAGAGGCAGCAAACAAGGTCAGATAAAGGGGTACGATAGGGCGTCCTTTGGCGGGGAATGCGTGTCAGACTTTTAAACCATTAGAGAATGACATGTTCAAATCCAAATCAATATGATAAAAAATAAACACATGGTCAGATCAGTTCAAGATTCTGAGTCCATACCTGTCTCATGGCAATGTGATGTGATGTGATGTGATATGTGTTGTGTTGTGTTGTGTTGTGTTTGTTGCAGGTTCGTCTCCTGGGAGTGGTCTCCCAGGGCCAGCCCACTTTGGTCATCATGGAGCTGATGACACGAGGAGACCTGAAGAGTTACTTACGCTCACTCCGACCGAAAGAGGTACTATTTGCTCCTTTCTACCAGGTCACTAACCTGTGGAGACAGAGGTGGTGGTCAGCCTTCCTCTTGGGTATAAGGGGGTGTAGTAGGGGTGGTGTTATACAGCGGTAGCAGGTACAGGTAACAAGTGCAGAATATTTGAGCATTATAGAGAATAAGATAAAGTTCAATATTAAGGATTTGATGACTTTCTTTCTCAGCTGATATTAAGAGTTCGTCTCTGACTTTGAATCAGTGTGATAAGTTAGCACAACTTATCAGCTTTTAATTGTTGGATTACTTGCAGATGAAACTTCAAACAGAACGACACACACAAACCTTTGATAAATGGAGTCAGCTGCCTTTTGAACAATCAAGTTTCATGTGAAACAACACTGTGAAAAAATAAGAGACCTGAATGAATTTATTGGGCAAAGCTGCAGTGCAGTGCAGGCTAGTTCTAGGTCTAGTTTTTCTATTCTTTATAGAACTACTATTACACTGACAAGAACTCCATGCAACTGTATATAACACATTGAATTTGCATCATAACCTGTGGGTCAGCTAATTAATAACCATCAGGACCTTATTGTTTATCTAAAACTTACTCGTCTGTCCCATCTCTCTGTCTCCAGCAGCAATGGTCGAGCCTGTCTCTCCCCCCTCTGAAGAAGATGCTTCAGATGGCGGGGCAGATCGCTGACGGCATGGCTTACCTCAATGCCAACAAGTTTGTCCACAGAGATCTGGCAGCCAGGAACTGCATGGTGGCCGAGGACTTCACTGTTAAGATAGGAGGTAAAGCACTGCGGAGAGGTCAGAGGTCACTGACAACGAAGGGTCTGAAATGGGAGGGAGGTGGCAGCTTGCTCACTAAGTGGAAACGAAGTGGTAGTGTAATTTTCAAGTTACTGGACGACCAGATCGTCAGGGGTAACCTTTATTCCTTTGGTCCATTTTTTAAACAGTTAGAACCATCTTCTTCAAATGCTGTGGATGTTTTTTTGTAGCCATTGTCAAAGCTTCACTTCCTCCCTGTGTGTGTCTGTGTGTATTGGTAGATTTCGGCATGACCAGAGATATCTATGAGACAGATTACTACCGCAAAGGTGGTAAGGGTTTGCTCCCCGTCCGCTGGATGTCACCCGAGTCTCTGAAGGACGGAGTCTTCACCACTAACTCTGATGTCTGGTGAGCAGGCACACACAAACACATTCAAACACACGTGGCAGCTTTGTTCTCTCTGTTTACTGCTGCCAAAAATTGTCTTATGATGACAATTATGATAATGGAAGACATACTTATTTACCCCTTCTATCTTTCCACCGGTATAGGTCATTTGGGGTTGTGTTGTGGGAGATTGCCACTCTGGCAGAGCAGCCCTACCAGGGTCTGTCCAATGAGCAGGTGCTGCGCTTTGTCATGGAGGGAGGGCTGCTGGAGAAACCACAGAACTGTCCTGACATGCTGTAAGAGACAAACACACACACACACACACACACACACGCAACTCTAAAGATTCGCACATCAGCAGACTAACAGTGACACTATGTTCTCATCTTCCTGTCTGTCTGTTTTCTTCTACTTTATAATTAAATCATAAGTAACTAGTATTTATTCACGAACGGTGAAGCAGTTGTGCTGCCCTTCAGCCTGCAGTCATTAGGATTTCTATACCTTAGCCCGTCTGTTTGTCACTCGGTGCTCTAGTGTTCTCCATGATGTGTTTGTTGAAACAGCACAAGTTTAAATCCACATCAATAGAGTTGTGAGCGTGGCAGACAAATTTGGCCACCAACCACCAAACATCGAGGATGCATCAGATGGTGGAGTCATGTGGAGAACAGATGTGAAGCCACAGGGTTTGCTGGGTGAATAATGACGATGCCTTGTTTTCAAAATCAGATTTCTGTTGATGAGAGAGAGTTCTCGAACAGCATATCATTTTAAAATGATATGCTGTCTTTACCATATCCATAAAACCCACTGTCATATTATTTGCATTCTGCTGTTGTACAATATTTGAAAGTGTTGTATATGGCATAACTGGTAACTTTGCATTAGATTTTCTAATACCATACAAAGTACCCACTCTAGATCAGAGTCAGGAAAACTTTATTGATCTCTGCAGGGACATCACTTTGTTACAGCTGCACAACATGCAGATAGGAAAGAGAAAGTAAATAAGTCCAAAAAAAACTAATAATATAAATACACAAAAACATTTTATTATTTATCAACTACAAAGAGGTTATAATCTGGTTACATGACAGCAAATTTATGATGGATTAAATTTTTCCTATAACAATAAGAAGAGAAGTTACAAATACAGTCCCACTAAAATTTTCCATCTGTATATTGCCTATGGCATATCTGATGATGTTTTTTTTTGGGGGGGGGGGGGGGGGCTAGGATTGTCTGTGTGTTTGTTTGAGTTGCATTTGGAGTAGATCTAGGCATCCTTGGTTTGTACAGACTATATTCTTAGAACGTTTGGGTGAGCCAACTGGTAGCTCGCAAGCCACCTGTTGGAGACCGCTGGGCTAAACCTATAGCTGTTTTAGTATTAGAAAGCAAGTATTTGGTAAAAGTAAGTATTGGATTGTCGATAGGAAGGCTCAGTTTCACTGGATAGAGTCATTACTGCAGGACTGAGCTAACCTGTGTGTGTATGTGTGTTTGTATAGGTTTGAACTGATGCGAATGTGTTGGCAGTACAATCCAAAGATGCGCCCATCCTTTGTGGAGATCATCAGCAGCATTAAGGATGAGCTGGAACCGTCTTTCAAAGAGGTTAGTTTCTTCTACAGCACTGACAACAAGCCAACCGATGACCAACAGGTCCACCTGGACAAAATGGACAACATTGGTGACGTTCCTCTGGAGCCCCCTTCTTCCACACAGCCACAGCAATCCCCAGTCCCCCAACAGACCCCGCCCTCCCCGAGCTCAGAGGCTCCACCCGCCCCCTCGCTAAGCCCCAGCTCCCCATCCTCTCCCTGTACGTCAACTGCTGCCATGGACAAGCAGGCCTCCGGTCAGCAGGCAGCTAACGGGCTGTCGGGTCCGAGCCTTGCAGCAGGGTCAGGGCTCGGGACAGGCGCAGGCGTCACGATGCGGCCGTCTCTGGAGGAACTGCCGCCATATGCACACATGAACGGAGGACGCAAAAATGAACGCGCCATGCCTCTCCCGCAGTCCTCTGCCTGCTGATGGGACAGAGACACCTACCAGACTGCAAACCCTGCCACCTGCTGCTCTGCGGAACATGATGTCACAGTGGGTGGGATCTCTTTTTTTCTTTTCTTTTTTTTTTTTTCTTTTTTTTTAGATGAACTACAGCAAAACCAGTGAGGAGCAAAGACTCAGAGGAAGGTGGAGTAAAGTGTCAGTTAGTTCATGTTCTGCTGTAACTCTACACACTTTATTTCATATTGTACTTTTGGTTTCTACCAGCTGGCTGTCAGATGTGACACTGCCCTTGCTGCTGAGTGGGAAGACCAAAAAATGGTAAAAGAAAGAAAAAAAAATACAAATCATTTGAGGGAGCTCTCTCTCTCTCTCTCTCTCTGTCTCTCTTTATGGCTGAACTTATTTTATAAATTGTTGTTTGTTACTTTTTTATATGTATTTCCAAATGGGAAAACAAAATGTGTAGGCCTTTATAAATGACCGGCGTTTTGGTCGCTTTTGGGCGGGCATTATGGTGAAACTGTTAAGCATATCTAATGAAGAAGAAGCACTTCAGAGAGGTCAGTGTCTCCGTCGGTCATTCAGAAGTCTTGCTGCTCTGCGGGCTGGGTGTCAGCGTAATGCCAGGTCCTCTGAAACAAACAACCAGAGGGAGAAAGGTCAAATCTGCCAAATTTGTTGCCAAAATTGTACTTTTTGTCAAATTATCTCCTCTTGCCCATTAATTCTCCAACACACCGGATTGAAAATGGAAGCAAAAACAAAAGCACTTTGATCTGCAACCACACTCTTCTTAAATCTGTGATCAAACATCCCTCTACAGTCCTACACCACTCCTCTATTGATGTTTGATATCTACAGCTTCTGTACTCTATCAAATTGACATCAGAGACTTTGGTTACATCAATTTAACTGAAATTGAGCCACATCCTGTCACAAAGTGCTGTTCTGTTACGGTTTAACCACCAAATCCCGTAAATAAAGAAGCAAAAAAAAACCTTCAAAGTGAGGACTGCAGAGGGAAAAGCATGAAGAGGAAAACAAATATGAACACTAGATTTATAATGTCTCTCTAGATCTATAATGTCTCTCCGTGTTCAGAGGCGTCCTTGTTGTATACAGACAGGTATTTTTTTAGACTAGTCGTTAGTCTCCAACATTTACAACATCTCTACATGGGCAGAGCATTTATGTACACACCAGTTGTTTGTGTCACTTTTCTAACTTTTATACGGTTGGAGACATTTATCATGTACAGAAAGAAGCTGCTATTCCTTATTTCTCTTGTGGTTGTAATATAGTTAATATCTATATATAAAAAGAGAAAAAACTCCTTCAGGTTGAATATACGAAAGTTTCCACTACAGTCCATTTTTTTAATGCTTGTAACTGTGTAAAGTGTATCTGAGCTAGTTTCGTTTCTGTGTTTGCATAAAAGGTACGACAATTTGCCTTGTGTTTTGAAACACCGGTAACGTCCCCACCCATCTGACTAGAGGACAGTGATGGTGCCAGTGACCATCGATGTTCTCGTGTTCTCTCGGGACACCTTCGACCTCTGTCCTCTAGGGTTTGGACTAGACCACCTCTACCCATCATCATACTCAGAGGTCAGGCGTCACTGCTGAGTCCCAACTAAATCTCAGGTCAAAGAGAAAAGTTAAATCCTTTTCTACCCTTTTTTGTGCTGTTCATACCCAGAGACATCCTGTCTGGTGTGTGTCTGGTTCTGGTGTCCCTCTGACTCTGTTATTGTATTTTCTTTGATCATTAGACAATGTTACCTACATCAGTCTGAACCCAGAATGGGGATTTCCAGTTTTGAATGGGTCCTTGCACTTATTGTATGGAGCCCCAATTTTGACAAAATGTAGTGAAATGTCATGAGATGAGTCACAAGATAACTTAGTACATCAAAATATATTATGAAATTGTTATTAGATGATGGAAATGGAGCATAAAGACTTTTAAAAGCAAAATAAAAAGCTTGTTATTGTTTCCCTTTACCCTCAGCCAGGGGATAAAATAAATTATAACTTTAGAAATGTATCTTACTTCCTTATTCCACTGGCTCATGTCATCTTTCAACTCCTTAGTTTCCCTTTTTTGGGGGTTCTTGCCATAGATTTGATCATTTATTTCATTTTTCCCAGTTTTTCACACGTGACATTTGTAAATGCTAAAAGAGTTAGCTAAATAGTGCTACTTAATGAAAGGAGTGATTAAATGACATGCAGCTGCATGTTAAGGATAACACAACAAAAAGTCCTAGACTTATTTCCATTGTAGTCCTTGATGAATACATGTGACATGCACTTGAAGATGAACACAGTTTTATGAAAATAAAAATAAGTAGTGTTAGCTAGCTACCTTTGTTAGCATAGTTAGCTGCAGCTAGGTTGCAAGCTGAAAGGAGCTAATGCCCCATGTCCTCAGTAACCAGTATTTTCAGGCAAGCTAACTAGCCACACAATCCTCTCAATTGCTCCACCAATGTTACACATACATACAAACCCTGGACAGATTATATTAAACATGTACACAGCAGCATTGTTATCATGTAAGTACTCGAAAAATAGGAAATGTGCTAAAGAAATGGGAAGTGTTGTAAACATAAAAGATTAAAACTGTCAAGACAAAAAAAAAGGAAAACTGTTGGGGGGGGTGAAAAGAACAAGTGAAAGATAGAGGAGTAGAGTAAATGAGATTTTAGAAAGGGTAATTATTCATCTTTATATTTCCCTTTACTCTTTATTTTAATTATTTAGATAACAGTATTATTTATTGATGAGTTCAGTTTTTGACTATGACATTTCATTAGATCTTGTCAGTTTCCGGGTTCCATATGTCTGTGCTGTGTCATAGCACTTGGTTCAAGGTACAAAGTAAATGCAAAATAGAATTTATTTAATGGAGCTGCGAGTCTTAACATCTTATTTTCCTGAAGGCAAGTGCAAAAAACCCTGTCTGTTGGATAATTTCACATTATCACTAATCAACGTCTCTCTTGAATCAAGGGTGCTGCTGGAGTAACCCATATTATTTATCTTTTTTCAACATATTAACATGTTTGTAGAAGATTGCTGAAGTTACATTGGGTTGAGAAATAAGTGAAATTATCTCACAGCACTGAGAGAATTTTTGAAATGCTTTAGGAAAAATAGGATTTCACACCTGAGGATGACACTGAAACGATTCACAGGAGGAACAAATGCTGGTGAGGCCCTCTTCCTCCAGGACATATTTTTTTATTAGAATACTAAATCTAAATTCAACACCCATTTGGTCAGACAACTAACTGTAACTGGAGATCCCTGTGTTGAACATGTAAGCATGTAACAGGCTGCTTCATCAATGTTTACTGAAGAAACCCATCAGACTAACATTTGAAGGTGAGTATGATCAGAGTGGACCACGTGGAATAGATTTTAAAGGCTCATTAACCTCAAAAAGTTGCATTTGGATTCCCAGCCCAGATGTTTCTTCCTTGTTTCTGTTACTTTTTTGTGAAGTGTAAGTCACTGTACAAAGGTTTTTTTTTTCCCCCCCCTTCTGATTTTTTGATGTTCTTTTGCTATTTTGGGGGAAGGTTTTGTTTATTATTCCTTCAACCATCCATCTACCTCACTGTTTTTTTTTTTTGTTTGTTTTTTTTTTTTTTTTTCAATCTATATACATGTACAGAAAAACAAAACATCTCTGTTGTCCGGCTGTAATGGCGGTCTTACTGAGTGCTGTTAATATGGTCAAATTCAAACCACAAACCAAACCATCCTGGGGGTCAGGGGGGGTTTCAAGAACTGCTGGTGACATTTGGGACAAATCGATCATAAAAGGGAGCGTTTTAACTAAGTCTAATAAATCATAAGTAACTGTGATGATAACAGTTTTGCTTGGGGTCTGGAAGACTATGAGGCTGGTTTATTTCTCAAATGCTCTGCTGTGAGAGGAGCTGTTATGAACATGGAAGAAGGAAGGAAGTGCAGTCCTGCTGTGAGAGGCTGTGGTGTGTTCCTCCCCTGTTGTTAAAACCTCCTGACCTCCTCATCCCCTTTCTCCACACTCCCCTCTCCCTAGCCTGAAGTCTAGCCCCAGTTTGTTGGCTCTCATGCATTGCTATTACATTACTACATGCATCTCCCTTTGTTTTGTTTTTTTGGTGGTTGTTTTAGGAAACAGTGTTGCAATTTGAGAAACAGGTTAAAAATCTTTCTTTCTTTTTTTTCATGCTGCAGTTAGAATATTTTTTCATTCAGATGGTTAGAGGAGTTCTTGAGGATTCTTATGAATGAAATTGGAGGTTATCAGATGACCCCCTCATGGTATTTTTGTATGTATAGAGAATCGTTATAGGACTTCTGTGAGTCACCTGAGGCTGTTAAAGAAGATGGAGCCTTTCCTGGTGATTTGTGTCTAGTTTGGGATGGTTTAAACTGGCTAATTTTCAATATCACACACAAATTACTGCTGCAAGTATATGTTACAGTAAAAATTAAAACAAGATGTGTTTCTTTGCTCTCCCAACTGATTAATGACTTGTCCAATATTCTATCCTCTGTAACAATTGTTTAACTGGCAGGTTAATCTGAGTTGCCACATTCTCCAATGAGCTTAAATGTTTCCAGAAGGCTGTTTGTTTTTTGTCATTAATGAGTGAAGCCGTGTGAATCACCAGGTAGAAGTCAGTCAGTCAGTCAGTCATGTGCCATATCTGACCTGAGAGTTGGCTAATGATCTGTACTGGTTGTTATGGAAACACCTCTGCTAACAGAGGAGCTAGTTATATTTCTTCTTCTTCGTGTGTCGGTTGACAGAATACTCTTGAGGTTTTTTTTTTTTTTTGTTACTACTATTACAGGACTTCGGCACAGATCCCTGTGCCTATACCTGTTTCCATGGTGATCGTAATCCCAGTAAAAAGCATCCTTGCTGTTCTTTTTTTTTGTGAGTCTTCTTCCCACCCTAACAACGCAGGTTTGTAATTTCAGGCTGGGAGTCTGGGTGATAAGGGATCTAGTTTA